ACCGGTGACGGAGAAAAAAAAGACAATAAAAGAAGCTACGCTCGCTCCTGTCCGGTCCCGACCGAGATTCTCTCTAGCTCGTAGTTATGTTAGTCCTTAACTTAAACTGGGTAATATCATAAACAGACATGTTATTTAGCCAGATATGTCAACATTAAATTAACGATACATGTACATAATAATGCGCTAACTCACGGCCTTCAGATTATGAGACTGACGCGCTGCCTACTGCGCCAACGAGGCATAACATCTATGTCAACTTAACCAGCCAATTGTAAATGTAATTTTATTTAAATCAACGGAAATGAATGGTTGTCCTTCATGAAAACATACATTGTATGCCTGCAAAAATATATAACTCTAGACTGGTGGCTGTATGCCAGTGTCCTCCATTGAAGCTGCAGGTCACGTCCATGTATGTGAAGGATGGAAACAGCCTGAAACCACAGTTTTGTATTCTGACTCTACACAAATCCAGGCAAAGACTATGCAGGCATTATACTCTGATTCCAAACGACAAAGGGCTGTCTGCTGCATTGGTTGCGTTAGACTTTGTCGTTGTCCGTCATTTTGACGGACAGGATCGTGACATTTCCGTCATAATCTATTATTACCCGTCATTTTATTTTTCATGTTTTAATGATGAGACATATTTAATATTTATGTTTGGGTACTAAGCAGCAAATGTTCATTCATTCCTTTTTTTTATGATTCATACAGAACTTTTAAGGGCATGGAGAAAAAAAAAAAGAACAGAGACACCGACCGTGCGGTCACTTTTCATGTCAAAACGAATAAGAATGATTTATTTTTCCTTGCCACTTGCTTGTCCCTCTGCTGCTGGCTGAACGTTGTCAGTTTTAGTCTTACTGGCTTGTCCTTCATCCTCCACTGCATCAATCCCTCTTTTTTCACCTCGTTTATCCACACCATCACAATTACTGGGCTTATTAAAAAAGCTTCGGACACTCAGCTGCCGTGACATTTTGCGATTGCTAAAGCCGGTTAAACAACGAGGTAATCAACGAGGTCAAATACAAGACTAGACAATAGCTACTTAATATGCACACACTCGCCACCAACTGGAGAGGGGTGTGAATTACTAAATAATAGTTACAGTAGAGTACAGTAGATCGCCCTCAGTCGACCTGGCCACTAAGGATGTAATATAATGTGGGCCGCTGGTGGACATTTTGGCGCTGTTCCGAGTTGTGTTCTAATCTGTCAAAATGACGGACTGCTTTCAGAGTTTTCCGTCATTCTTGGAAAAATTACATCATAGACGGAAAATATTCGGTTAACGCGACCTCTGGTCTGCTGCATTGGCCGGGAGCCGGGAATCGGAGCCGGGTCTTTCGCGTGGCAGGCGAGAATTCAACTACTGATCCACTAATGCTCACATGATGACCTTTGAATGTAATTGTTGGATAGAAGGAAATTATGCAACTGGTAATGTGTCACAGTCATTATCATACTTTTTTTCTGGTTCCTTGAGCATTTCAAGGCATCTAGCTTGTTAATTTATGCAAATCAGAATGCTAGTTGAAGCAGGAAACGTCCCTGGGTGGGCTTGAACCACCAACCTTTCAGTTAACAGCCGAACGCACTAACCAATTGTGCCACAGAGACACATGCTCCATTAACTTGAGGGTGTTTGGCCTCAATATTCAAGCCCCACCCACAAACGTTTGCTATTCACTTCTTAAAGCCGGGGGTCAATAGCGTGGCCATCATAGAAGATTTTTCAAGCTCCTTTGATTCTATATTTCATGATAAGCTCTTTATCCGTAAAGAAGGGATACATTCCAGTTGTCCTCCCTTACATGGATTTGATGTCTAGCATCTAACTAGAGTTTTCAAATCCCACAGAGTCAGCACCTATAACAACCCACAAAACATCTTTACTGGTACGCCCAAAAGAGCCAAAGAGTAATGTTTTTCACTTTAGCTGATTGCCGGGGAAACCATACATGTGTCTTGTAGACAAAGCTGAGTCGTGTGTCTCTGGGCTCCTAGGATGGAAACAGCCTGTCATCATGGATTGTGTATCTGACTCTGCATAAGTCCAGGCAAGATCCTTTCCACCCAGTAGCTTTACACTGTCCTTAGGCGCGTTCACACCGGAGTACTTTTCCCACAATAGTTCATCAGAACTACGATATATTTGCGTTCACACCAAAAAGCCCCAGGAACTAAAGTAGTTCAAATGAGTTCATCTGACCCGCTTTTCAGTCCCTGCTCTGTGGGAGAAAATAGTTCATACGTCTGATTGGCTGTGCGGAATGCAAACAACGCCCCGTGAATCTCTAGAATCTTTTTTGAAGGCCGCCATTGTATTTGCTCGCATTAAGCTCAGCACAGCGCACCAACGAGTGGATTACTTTTGTGAAAGCAGTTATTATGGCAACACTAAATAAATCATCGGAGCGGTGGAGTGATGAGGATGTGTTGGCGCTTCTGGCGATTTACTCGGAGGACGCGAAGCGCCGCATTCAGAAGCTTCTACTGAATGCAGTTTCCGTGGTTCAGCAAAGTTAGCAGACCTGGCAAAGTCATGTCAGGACGAAGGTAAACTAAAATACATGCACTGCACTGTTTTAATCTGCACAATACTGGTCTCTGATGTACTTTTATTTGCTCAGTAGATCATGCTTGCCATGCTAGAACTGGCTAACATAGGTCCAAGCTGGCTAACAACATCTAGCTAGCTAGCTATTCTCAGCCGTGCCCGCTATGAACTTGTTTTGACTTGTGAATAAGTGTGCAATGTTCTGTAATTGCTTCACTAACTCATGGCACTAATCGTGTGTTTCAGGCGAGGTGTTTCTCTCTGGATTGGAAACTAGTTAGCTTTTCCCTCCGTCCGGTATAAAACGATAATATAACGTTAGCAATTAGCATGCTAGCTGGACATAATGCTACCTCTAACAATACATTGTAGTTGCTATAATTTCATCATTTGCAACATTCATTCTACATGTTAATGGTAAAAGCTTAAACAGTTGATTACCTGCATGCCACAAAGACTGATGTTCTAATATTTTGCACATTTAAGCAAAAATGTAATTGAAATTCTATTTTATTTTTCCTTTTTTTATTGATTGTTATAATTGTACTCAGCCATGTTATGTTAGATGTCAATCCACTTACACTGTAACTACTCTGGCCTTGAAAGAAGGCTACGCATCTAACTGATGTCCACTAATCCCTATAAAACAAAGTTCAAGCATACATTAAGCACAAAACAATAAATAAGGGCACTTTGATATTTATTTGATATTATTTGATCCTATCTTATCTTCTACTTTACACCTGCATTTTGTACACTGTCCCTGTCTGCACCATGTCCAATGTTGTCTCTGTTGACAACCTACTAGGCGATTAAACTGATCTTGTATCTTGCTTATTTCTCCTTAGGAAAGTGGGCACGGGATGACAGCTTCCTTGACACCATCATGGCGATGGACCACCGTGCCATGCTCAGCAAGCAGAATGAGGACCTGCGTGCCAAGGAGATGCACGACGAACGGCTGCTGCATTCACACAAGGCCCAGGAATCGAGGCCCACTGCTTCTGGCAGTGCTAAGCAAGCTGATTAAATCCAACAGGCCTTCAATAAAAAAAAAAAAAAATACTTGTCGTCGTTGATAAACTGTACAATGACTTGTTGGGAGGCGTGTGGTGCAGTGGTCTGGTGCGTTGGTGTTCGGATCAGGGGAGCACAGGTTCAAACCCCACTGCAGTCAGCATGTCGTTGTGTCCCTGGGCAAGACACTTCACCCCAAATTGCCTACACCTGGGACAGTTAATTTTGTATTATTGTGATTATATATATATGCCACTGTTATTAATACTGACACTTCACTTTGCACTAAGGTGTGTCTGCTGAGCCATACCTATTGTTATTATATTGTTATTATATATATATATATGTTTTGATACTACTGACACTTTATTTGATATTGAAAATGTTAACTTCTATTTACATGCATACGACACACCTGGGACAGCGTGATACTGTTATTGATATTGTCTTGAGTGTGCAATAAAAGAGAACATACATGGCGATTAAACAGAGCCTGTATCTTACATTTTTCATTACATTTCATGTAACTAAGCTTGCTTATTTCTCCTCTGACACTTTATCTTTACAGTGACCTGTGTAGCATCCTATACATCACATGTAAGTGATTATTCTGATACCATCATGTTTCATCGGTTATAAACTGGCGAAGCTTTATTTATTGTGGCTTTCAAAAAGATAATTTCATTGTATTTCAAAATGGCGTCCTACACAAGCACTATTTATTTATAGAAAGATAAATGGTTAAGTTTGTTATTACCAGTGTTGTGAGTTCAATATTTTTAATTAATTATAGTAAGGGAACATCTTAGGAGTTAGTGTAGTGAGTTTCAGAGCAGTGTAATAATTATTTGACCTAAAACAAAAAAAAATTATGAACATGACATGGGGATTTGCTAACTTTTGATTTCCCCCATTTTACACGACACAAATGGAGGCCACTATGAGCCACAACTAACACGTAGGTTTCTGTAGGGTTCATGGCAGACGGATGCAGTTGCTCTCAGGAGGATACATAATAAAGGTGTGTTAGCTGCTGAGCCTATTTAGTGTGCATACGACACACCTGGCACAGTTTATTAATTTCACACGTAGCGTAGCGCGTGCATGTCGTCGTCCAATCCTTTTGTCAATCCTTCTTAACCGCCTTCGCTTCCGAATCAGCATTGCTATTGCATTTGACTGGTCGACGATCTGTATTTGTGTTTGCTTAAATAACGCAGACGAAGCTCATGTCTGAGGTCGGAAGGTAAACAGACGCCTCATTTACAGCAAGTGGGCGCGGGAGGTTTTTCTTCTTTTTCTCTCGTTTTTTTGGCGGATTGCAACTTTAAGGTGCATAGAGGCTTTGCATATGACGTCACGGGTAACGTGACGTCAGCCCAACGGCCATACTGGAGTACCAAAACAGACACCGTAATACGTCAGAGCTGTTTTTTTACCGGACATATAATGGTTAACTTCTGTGCCATTGTTGGCTGCGGCAACAGAGGTGATCGAAACAGGGGACCGAAGTCATTTTACAGGCTGCCGGCGGTTATAACACACCAGGGTGAAGCAACACATGAACTTTCAAAGCGTCGCCGGGAAAAATGGCTCAATAGGATCGGACGGGAGGATCTCAAACCATCCAACCACAACTATACTCGCGTTTGTGGGGATCATTTCACGTCAGGTAAGTGTCGGGTTTTACATACAAACATTCAAAATGAACATATAACCCACGTACTAAGACATGTATCTTAACAAGGAAATAGGAATCCTGGAGTCTGTGTCATCGATCGACATATCAGATTGTGGAGTATCTACAAAGTAAAGTCATCCCTTGGCTCAGGTCATCTTCACACCAGTCTGTCAATCCCCTGCTGTAGCCAGTGCTTCGTTTAACTGTAATTTAAAGTAATTCCTCCCGCTACTGGCCATTTGATTATATGTAAACAGTAAAGGCTGTACAGTCCCTGGCACCTTTTCAGAGGCTTTTGGTTTCCTCAATTATTTGTCATGTTCCTATGTCTTGACACCAGCATTTTAAATATATCTAAAGTCTGACTTCGCTTGTCAAAAGAGGTCAAATATGTATTAATTAACAGTTCACCCAGGATATAACTGACCTACAATCTGATTTATTTGCAGGTAAACCAGTGGCACTTTTTGACAAAAATCATCCTGACTGGGCACCGTCTGTCAAATTGGGCCACGAGAAAATTACAGCACCTTCCCCTGCTACACATGCCAGGTATAAACGCGCCAGAAAAAGGTCATCCATCGCACTACTTGATCTCTACAGCATGGTATCTGATATACCATCTCTAGAAGAGCCCGCACCAGTCCTGGGAGCCACTGGGGAAGAAGAAGGACTGATTGAACCAGAGACTGGCACTGCAACTCAGACTGATTTGACTGGTGAAATGATTGACAAAATGTCATTTGAAATTAATAATGTAACAACAGAAAATGTTAATTTAAAAGAAAAGCTTGTAAAGTCCACCATTTCAGAGAGTACATTTAAGGGCGATGATGACCGTGTGCGGTTCTACACGGGACTTCCTACTTTTGCTATTCTAATGATGGTATACAATCTTGTGGAACTGCACATCAGTGTGAACGCTAAGAGTTCACTGTCTAAATTTCAACAGTTTATACTGACACTAATGAAATTAAGATTAAACCAACCCCTGCAAGAGCTGGCTTATAAATTCAACACATCCACGTCTACAGTATCCCGTGTGTTTACCTTGATTATCGACGTCATGTTCAAACGTATGAGTTTCCTTTTGAAGTGGCCATCTCGAGAGGAACTCCAACTGACAATGCCTATGGATTTCCGCACTCATTTTGGTACTAAAGTGGCTGTTATAATAGACTGCTTTGAAGTTTTCATTGACAGGCCATCAAATTTAATGGCACGGGCTCAGACTTGGTCAAACTACAAACATCACAACACCATCAAATTTCTGATAGGAATCTGTCCGCAGGGTGTTATATCATTCATTTCAAGGGCATGGGGTGGCAGGTCCAGTGATAAGTATATTACAGAAAATTGTGGCTTCTTAGATAACATTTTGCCTGGTGATTTGATTTTGGCAGACCGAGGTTTCAATATAAGTGACTCAGTGGGTTTCATGTGTGCTGAGGTTAAGGTGCCTGCATTCATGAAAGGCCGGAAACAATTATCAATGAAAGATGTTATTGACACAAGGAAAATTGCTAACGTGCGAATTCATGTTGAGCGTGTCATAGGATGTGTAAGGCAGCGATATACCATTTTGGGAGGACCAATTCCTATAGACTTTTTACTTTCTAAAGATGTAGATGGGATTACATTGATGGATAAAATAGCTGAAGTGTGCTGCGACCTGAATAATTTGTGTGATACTGTAATACCCGTTGATTGAGCCTTTACATTCTGTTACACCCCAATCAACCCATATCAGATTTAAAAATATTACATGTTTGTATTGTAATTAGTATTACATTATTGTTAATGTTGTACTTGGTCAATTAAATGTCTTGATAATCAGAGCAGTGATTTGGGGTTTGGTTGTGTAGGGGAATGTTTGAAAAATTATTTAAGCTGTTTTCAGGCATGGAAGATTAATGTTTTTCTCTCAAGTTTTCTATTGTCAGATTGGACACATCTGCTTGAATGTGGTTTCAGACCTGCACTGCACACTGTAATAGTACTGGTAGAATATTTAAGCTTGGGTAAATACATTTTGAAAAAAACAATTGAAAGGGCAAAGTATTATATTTATTACAGGTTTCCAATGTACACATTGAAAAAGGGTGAACAACAAGTACATGCTCCTTTAACTGTAAGCTGCAGAGATCACCTCACATAACAGAGATAGATTAACATTGTGTCCATATTACAGTTTCTTTCAATGCTAAAACACATTTTTTGAAAGCAGGGCTTATTTTCTCAAAACACTAAACACAATTCACAAAACCATACACACAAAGTGCAAAACACCTACTGCAGAATGAAGCACTGCATCCAGAACTACAGAAACACCAAACTTTTGCACCAAATGGCACACACTTCATTTATAGTACAAGACATTTTGTAAAACCAACTACACACCATCGTGCTCAAGCACACTCATATTTTATAGCGTTTCATATAGAGAATTCTGCAAATAAAGATTGTTCAAGTCTCCAAAATATGTGCAGAAACACAAATATACTGTTGTTATACTTTTACTTTTCAAAAAGTGGAAAGTTGAATTGCAAATTGGGTGCAGAGCTGAACATGTGTTTAGAGTTTTGGAGATTTGAGCTGAGGTTTTGCTCTTTCAATGTCAGTTTAAATAATGATGCTTTGTGTCATTTTAGTGTGTACAACTTTTTTTGATTGTTACACTTACATGTTCTTTATATAGATTTGATGTAAAAGAAACATGTTTAATCAAATAAATATATACACTGTCATTCAGATTGATTCGTACTTCTGTTTCTTTTGAGAGGGGACATGCTGATGACATTTGTCACAATACCAGCTTCCTTTGGGGGAAACTGTTATCCCAACACATTCAAAATGAAACCAGGTAGTTTCACAATTTGTGTTATCACATCCTATCATGGGAAGCTTTTCCTCTCCACGACAAAGGCACCACTTGGGTATCAGTGGTTGGGTATTGGTTGGCTGAGTCAGAGTGGCACAGAGCAGGGTCTGGTATCAGGCAGAGAGGCCTTTTTGGTGCACTAATGGAGACTGGTGTAGTTGCACTGGAAATTCTGGTGAAGAATTGCCCACTCAACTCGAGGAGAATGACCTTCTGAAAGAATTCATGAGCTTTGGGGTATACCTTCTCCCAAAAGTCAATATCTGGGGTTATGCGTTCAAGATGAATCTTTCCATTCACCCACAGAACAAAGTCAGCATATTCAACATCACATAGAAATAACTGGGTCTGCACTTGATAGAAATAGGCATGGGTCTTCTTCAGCCTGTCCTGTCCATCACGTGATTCCAGACATGTATGGTCTGACGGTGCAGCAACACAGTAGGGGCATTTAATTTCCAAAACACCTACACCACAGCACTTGCAGGACACAACACCATCTGGAGTAGCACCTAAATATGGAAATGTTGGCGATAACACGAGCCCAGAGTCCTGGCAAATGAAACCGTCATGTCGATTCATAATTGTAATGTAATCTTCACGTGCTGATTTCTCGTGATTACATCCCCATTCAGTAGCTGCAGTTTTAAATGTTGTGGCTTCTGGGTAACAAATAGCTTTAATCAAGCTAAGCGATGGTTTAGTTGCACTTGTTGAACATGCTGCCTTCATACGAGATGCTGTAATCCGCCCAGCTCTGTATCGATACCAGAGTTTGGATTTGGCCTGTGTTTTTGTGGCCTTCTCAATTACATCCGCCTCCGGCTTGGTGATAGCTACATTGATCCCTTGGCAATGTTCTGTAAGGGCTTTATGGTCCATTTCTAGGCAGTTCTCACTTTTTAAACTAGAAAGCGGCTTAGGAAATGTTGACAAAGTCACTTTTGGGACAAAATCGGCATTGTGTGGAGCTGAGATTGTCAATATTGCACACTTCCTTCCAGTCGATTTCAGTGATGCCAGGAAAGACTGTTGCTCAGCATCTGTCGCTTTTGGAATCTCCCTCGAGTGACGTAAAAGTGGTGTTGTTGTTGTTGTTGTTAAATTAGCTGCATCGCCAAGGCTGTCAATTGCTTGGCTTAAACGATTCCTTCGGGTTTTAGCCGAAGTAAAGTCAATGTCAGCAACAGGGGAAGGTGTTACATCCTTCACTGATCCAGGTAGAAGCCAATACGCCTTTTCCTCGGTAACTGTCTTGGCATCACGTATCCGTATAGATGTTTCTATGTAGAAAAGGAGAGATGCAACATGGGTACATGTTGATCCCAAACCAGCTTTGCAGTTGCAGTTAGCTGTGATGACTGCCCCATCCTTCTTCATCAGTACCCACGGACATGTTGGCGGCAGCCCAATACTCTGAGAATGCAATACCTGAAAAATAAAATACAAAAATATTATTGGATTGTTGACTTTTTAGAACCACCAATATTTTGGTTCAACTTTACTTTCAAATACTGATTGTTTACACAACCAGTGGGTGGTCAGCTCTTGTCATACTCCTATGCTAGGTAGCACATAACATAAGCTGACAACCAAGAATAGGTTCACAACTTTTGTAATTTAAATGTATTGCAATATATAATAAAGCTTTATTTATAAAGCCCTTTTCATAAAGCACGTGTAGCTCAAAGTGCTTTACAAAATGGCACACATCACAAGTTAAAAATAAACCACAAGAAATTCCCCTCAGATCAGATGTTAAGACCTTTACTGTTACGCTTCCCGAGAAGTGACTGGAGATGAGAACCCGCTACGCAAACACTAGACGGAGACAGTGGTGAAGTGTCAAACAATAGTCTTTATTTGACCACGGCACAGGCAAGGTGTAGAGAGGAGCTCAGAGAAAACAGACGTGGAGCTGGATAGCTCAGGGGGAGACGGAGGTGCGGAGATGCACGGAGGGAGCACCGGCGTGGAGAGCCGGAGATCCAGAGCTGGCGAATGTAGACAGGATGAGCTGGTGTGCGTGGAGGCACGGAGGAAACACCGACGAGGAGAGCCGGGAATCCAGAGCTGGCGAACGTAGTCTGGATGAGCTGGTGTGCGTGGAAGCACGGAGGGAACTCAGACGAGGAGTCGGAGGCTGGACGTGGCAAGCAGAGCGGCAGGTGTGTGTAGGTCTGGAAGAATAAAGATGCAGGGTTAGAAAGGAATAACCTTTCACTAGGAGTATCAAAAGGTTTACTAGAATACTGCTAGTAGGCCTGGACGATAGTTACCACTGAAGGATAAACGAAGAACTGGCGAAGTCTGAGGATGGGAACCAGGGTTTTAAGCAGGTGCAGGTGAGTAGTGGCAATCAGTGAGATTTACAACAGCAGTGGAGATGAGTTGGCGGGAATCAGAATGTAGGTCAGCCACGCCCAGCCAGGAAGACAAACAAACATAGACGTGGAAAAGAAGGAGGAAGTACTGCAGATCCTCACATTTACAGGTACATGCAGCATAGCAACAACATATAACATTTTAACGAGGAGGTAAAAGGTATGATAATAAAAATAAATAATAAGACACAAGACTAAGTTAATTGATGCAACAATATAAAACCCTATAAAATAAAGTAAACATATAGATATAGGTACAACAAAAATAAAAGCTGGTGTTTAAAAATGTCCACTGAGTTGGCCTCTGATATTTCTTGGTAGCGTAGTGGATAAAAGCAGCCTCACCCATTTTATTTTGGGGGACTTTAGGGATATTTAAAAAGCCAGCTGAAGAGGCCCTCACGAAATATTTACTCACTTTTCCAGCTATTACAGCCACATCTCCTTGATATGCAACGCAAACGTCGCGGATCCACCCGGATGTGAACTGGTTATGTGCCTCGAGTCCTTTGTACGCTTTCATTTCCTCCATGGTGTACAATGGAATAGGCGAAAAAACCAGGTAGTTCACGATATCACAGTAGGAAAGTGAAGGCCATGAATTTATATCAGTGCTGTAATCCTTAACGGGAATCAAATAAGGGTCCACCGAACCAATCGACGCACATTTTTCTCTGTAAACGGTCTTATCCTCCGGGTTTAGTGATTCGTAGTAGCCTTTCATTTTCGCCATTTTTGAACGCTCCCGCCAGTGGAGTGGTACTCCAAGATGTCTGACGCGAAATCCCGTGACGTCATTAGGAAGCCTCTATACCGCCACCTACTGTACTCGCCGTGAAGTTGTTTGCGGCCTGCCAGTAAACCCAAAGCAGAAGAAGAAGAAGAAGTGAAGTCAGCGGTTCATTTGCCTAATCCACCCCCAGGAACTCATTTTGGTGTGAACGCGATCTGCTTTAGTTCATCAGAACTAAAAGAGCTCTCATGAACTATTGTGGGAAAAGTACTTGGTGTGAACGCGCCTCTTGTCTCAGTGTTTTCCTCTCAGACCCCAGACTGTGAGGATTAAACTCCTCTGGCTGTTCTGTACTAAAGCTCACACATGCCTGCTTTCACAATTTCACCCCATCAGTCTGATAGATCAATCCCTCCATCCCAGAGAGACCAGAACATCTCCCAGTATGAGAATAAAGTGCTCCCACTTGTTGCTGCAGCCTCACGCAGTTTGCATACTAAACAGCAGCCTGGGATTGTTTGTCCCGGAGCTTTTTGGGCTTCTTTTAACCCCAGAAATGTGCTTTTAACTCACCGAGAGGAACTCCAGGGTTTGCACATAGTCCCGCTCCGTGTGCAGCAGCTCGCTGAAGACGCACACCCGGAGCCGGAGCTGCTTCTCCGGGCTTTCCTCCGTCATTGTGAGGAGGTTCATGCAACAAATAATAATCCTGTAATATGTATTAAATCCTGTAGAAGAAAGTTCAGTTCTACTTCAGAGGAGGAAGATGTGCAGCATGGTCCGGTGTCTGCAGGAAGTGGAATTTAAATAAATAAAAGTCCACAGAAGAGAGAAGAGTGGGCAACAAGTGCACAGAAAGTTATTTCCATGTGACGAAAGTCTGCATCCTCGATCCTGCCTCCACAGATTCACTGCAGAGGATCATGTCAAGCTGCTAGTGTGTAAACAAGGCAACTTCCGGGTGTGGATTTCAGAATGAAAGAGCAGCAACAGGTT